ACTATATTACTCCTTTTTTATCATCATCAATTGCGAATATTCTACTCAATTTAGATGATAAAATTAATCTTCTTTGAGAATAAAAAATAAATAAATAAATAAATAAATAAAATAAAGTTTTAAAAATAAATAATAATCAAAAAGAAAATAATAAATAAAAAATTTAAAAATTAAAAAAAAAATAAAGAAAATCACAATGAAAATATTTCCTGTGTTTTCTATTCAGCCCAAGTCAAAGATTAAGGCTCAAGCAGATTATAAAGTTTCTAGGCCAAACGTATAACATGAAACTATTATTTATTTTCTAGGAAACTACAATCTAATGCATTCATGTATATACTATATACACATATCCCAGAGATAAGGAAATTCTTTTTGTTGCCCACCTGCTCTGCACATAATCGCAAGATTAGTTTGACTCTTTCTTTCCGCTCATCGATGGCTCGTCAATCTCTGCACTCAAACTCTCTTATTTTATAGCCTCTGCAGCTCTTGTGCTTTAAACTTTTGTATTTATATTGCAGCAAGCAAGCAAACAATTTGCCTAGTTTGCAATCGGTAGCCATTGTAGAGACTTTGCCTTAGCTGACATTTACGAGTATTTGCACAGTAAACGTGGGCGGATGGGCGGAGGCAAGTGAGCAACTCGGTCAAGTGCAGTCAGCCCGACGATGGGGAGCAGCGGTAACGACATTCAATAAAACGTTAGCTATTATTATGGGAGCACGCTCACACACACCCACACACGCCCACACACACCCCACACATGCAAGCGTCTGGAGCTGCGCAAAATGAAATGCAATGAAATGAAATGAAAGAAGCGCACAGAAATATGCAATTTCACCTCAATCACAGCTGTAAAAAACAAACAAACAATGGGGCGAAGCTCTGAGCTGAGCTGCACAGCAGGGTTCCGGCCCCATCTCCTTACACCCCTTGCTCGCCCTCTCGCTCTAGCGCCCCTTCGTAATGTGCCGTATCCTGCTTATCCCGGTCGTTATCGTCATGTGAGCCACATGCTGTTTGTTCAGCTCGCAGCTCGCAGCTCGCAGCTCGTAGCTCGTAGCTCGCAGCTCGTTCTTTTCATATCATTTTGCAGGTAAAGTTAAACGTAATTACTGGTCTGTGCCGTGCGCAGCGCTCTTGCCCCGTTTCGGCAGCGGAACAACCCATCTATTGAGCTATTGTGCAATGTATCATAGCGACGATAGACGGACGATCCCACTCGCAATTCCAATCGCAACAAATTGCCAAACAGTGTCAGGTGTCAGGCATTTTGCAAAACAGAACATTAAATCAATATTTTTGATCGACTTTCATCAGAATTTGCCATCAATAATATTTTATTGCCAGCTGAGCAAGTGAAACGAGTTTTGCATTTATTTGATTATTTTTCCTTTTTTTGCGTTTGTCGTCTACATAAATAAGTTATCTAAAACTGTAATTTGTGTGCTCTTGGTAAAATCTTTGAAATTTATACGAGATGATGTTGGATTTTCTTTACAAATATATATATATTTATTTATTTTTTTTTTTAATTTAAATTTGTGTCTATGAAAAATCTGTTAAAATTATAGGAAACTGATGTTTGTGTTTCTTTACATATATTTATTTATTTTTTTTATCAAATTAATTGTCATTAAAAATATATTTTTATTTATTTTAAATGTATAAAATAAGATAATAAAAGGTTTATATTATAATCTTTTTTTTTTTTTTTTTTTTTTTTTTTTAGAAAGCTATAATTATGTATTCTTTTATTAATCCATATATATTTAATGGTATATATTTTTGTTTTTTATTTAGCAATATGTAGTTTAATATTATTTTTCTACGACTTGGTATTTTATTAAATATATATTTAAAGCTCTTATGTGGATAATGCCAGCCATAGATTTGTTAATGCCTGCCTGATTCGTATCAAATAATTAACAATTAAATACGGCCGCTGTGCAGTTGAGCGGCTTAATGGAGCGTTCTTTGTGTGGCTCATTGATGTCCAATCAAATTGCCACTAACTGTCACGGACTAACGCATTTTATAACTCATTAAATTGACTTTAAGCCACCTTTTTCGCCGTTTCGCTTTGCCATTAATCCGCTTGTTCAACTTTCATTACATTTGCGCTTATCTGCATAATTGAAATGAATGCTTAACGATATTTGTAATTTAAAACGAAATTAAAGAAGCACAACAAAAAAAAAGCGTTTATAAAAAATAAAATAAATAAAATAGAATAAAAAGCAAGAAAGCTCTTGTCGAGACTGCACGACTATGGAAGTCCCTCAGCAGCTCGGAAAATTGATGTTCCACATATGGATTTACTCCTTACTGCATACAAAGAAAATAAAGCATGCACGCGCAGTTGATGTGTTTTTCATATGCCAAGGCACACTTCTTTAATATTTTAAATAATTTGTTGCACGAAATGAGCTTGACGTTCAAGGTTCCGCCACGCCTCCCTCTGTCAATTACATACATTTTAGCATAACCAGTATACCCTAATTTCCCACTCTCTACGGGGTCAGGGTATGAAAATAAAATTAAAATTAAGCCAAATGCAAATGTGCATTGACATATGAAAAACACATCATTAATTTATAAATAACCAAATTAAACAATTAATTGCCAAGGACAAACAGCGTAAAAAATATAAATAAAATTAATGCAAATATCAAATAAAAAGCAGAAATGAGTACAAAATCAAATAGAGAGAGAGAGAGAGAGAGAGTGAAGAGAAAGGCAATAAATTTAATTTCGCATTTGAATGCACAATTTAAATGCATTCAAAATCGGGTTTTTGTTTTTTTTTTGCTACTGCCTATAAGTAATTAAAATTTAAATGACTATCTCTAGGCCAGGCAGTGGACAACAAAAGATCTGTTTCTGTGCGGCGGTAAAAAATGAATAAATAAATAAATAGAAATTATTACGCATACGCCGCGTACGCAGCGAAGGCGAAAGTGCAAAAGAAATGAACACGTTGACAGGCAGGCGGCCAGGCAAACAAATGAAATTCATTAACACGATTCTAATTACAACAGACAATGCCAGCGACAGTTAGCAAAGGCGATTGTTTAGGTGGGGCGTGGCAGCGTCAAGGGGCTGGGTGTGTGTGTGTGCGTGCATTTTGCATACAAATTGCTAAATTAATGAGCAAAACACAGCCGCACAGTAGATAAAAGCAAATAAATTTGTAAATACGCAGCTCACACATAAAACACAAGCAACAATGAGAGCTGATGGACGAGCTGATACCCTGCTTTCCGAGTAAATTGAAGGCATAATGAAATTTATCTAATTTAGTGTTCATTTAAGTTTCGCTTGATTGATCATGACCCAACGATTTTTACAGGATATTCAAGCCATCATTAGCTGAGCTAGTGGCGCATTTTAATAACTGGTTGGATTGGCTAATTGGAGGCTAAGCAAATATTTGCACTACAATACCCTGCGCTGGGCCAATAAATTATGCAGAGCAGCTGCTCTGCTAAATGTTGCGTAATGCATAGGCAGTTCACATAGATATATATATATATATATCATATATCTGGCTGAGTGTGGCCAGTGACTAAGCCAATTCTGATTTATATGCCACCAAAATTTGAATAACCTTTAAGGGCGCCAGCAAAAATGCACATATATAAATGTGTATATATGTGTGTGTGTGTTCGAGTTAATAAGCCTGGCCATTTGCAGAGCAGCTGCATTTTACGAGCTTAGCTCTTTTGGCTTGGGCAAACGATTTTTGGGCACACCGCAGCGCACAGTCGCAAGGTTAATCCTTGGCTGGAACCCGGACGTCAGTCAGCAGCAGCACGGCTACTACGCCTGCTCAACGCCAGGCCAGTCTAAAGTTATTTCTGGCCCTTTTGAGGTATCTGTCTGTCTCTCTGTCTGTCTGTCTGTTGGTCTGCATGCTTATGGCCGGGCATATGCGGCGTATACGTAACCAGCTCCGCACAGGCCGCAAACAGAAATCGAGCACCTGGCTGCACATACATGCACCTGAACATGTGTTCATAGTTGTTTTTAATGGCGCTGCAGCCAGGCAGCCAGGCAGGCCGACAGCCAGGCAAACGCAAACAAAGCCAGCAAACAGACCAAAAATCTAGTTCACTTAAAATGTTCTCATTTCCTTCCGCCTGGACTTCCACAGCAGGCCAAAAACTCTACGTGTGAGAGTGTTTGTGTGTGTGTGTGTGTGAGTGCTGCGAGAAAGGCTTAAGTTAACATGAAGTCGAGGGCAGACCGAGGCGGCTCTGAGAGCCTTTACGTTCGCCTCATTGTCGCCGAAACGCATTTAGGAAGGAAATTAGTACGTAAATGTCATAATTTGCAAAAGAATTTTGTGCAGAGGATTATTAAGACATTATAGACACCCACACACACACACACACACACACATAGAAGTGCGACTGCTCCACATATTTATCGGCAGCTGTGTTAGCTTATCAAAATGCAAATTTCAATTTGCCAACTGCCGAAAGCAAGAGACAAGAAACAAAAGTGAAAAAGTAAGAGAACTACAAATCTTTGACTTTTTACCTCTACACAAAAACCGGAGCAAAAAGTAGAAATTATCATGAAAACGAGGGCCAACGATGCGGAACCCAAGGGCAACATTGTACATGTCTCTGCTGGGCACACCCACACACACACTTGCACACGTACACATCGGCAGCAATGCGGAGCAGAGGGCGACTGCTGTAATCCTTTTCAATGTTAACTTGCGTTCAGT